TCACGGGTTAGTCACGGGTAAGTTAATATCTCGGGAACCACGGAGTCTAGGAGGCTGAAGTTTTAGAGTTATGATCCCCTGCCCACCCTCAATCTTCCCCATTCAAATTCAGCCTTCCCTTACCCGCGGATAGCAAGTACGGCCCCGTGAAATTTTTTCACTGGTAAATCACGGGTAAGTTATTATCTCGGAAACCTCGTAGTCTAGGAGGCTGAAACTTTAGGGCTATGGCCCCCTGTCCACCCTCAACCCTGCCCATTTAAATTCAGCCTTCCCTTACTCGCGGGTAATGCGTACGGCCCCGTGAAAGTTATTCACGGGTAAATTAATATCTCGGGAACCACGGAGTTTAGGAGGCTGAAATTTAAGACTGATGACCCCCTGCCCACGCTCAACCCTCTCGCGCTCTCGGTTACCACCTACGGCCTCGTGAAAATTTTGACGGATAAACTATCTCACGGAAAGATATTCATCCTTCAAGGTTTCGAATTCAGCTTTCATACGCTGGTGCGTGAAATTTTCAACTGTTTTTCAATGTTTGAACTATTTTTGCATAGACTAAGGTACAAGGAAGTGAATAGGCAATCGTTCGATGGGCTGAATTGCACAAAACGCATGATCACACCGGCTAGTCTGGTGCGCGTTAGCAATCGTTCGATGGGCTGAATTGCACAAAACGCATGATCGCACCGGCTAGTCTGGTGTGCGTTGCTATTTATTATGTCGATGGGCTGAATTGCACAAAACGCATGATCGCACCGGCTAGTCTGGTGCGCGTTGCCATTTATTTTCTTAACGTTCGATTTTAGTTTTTATTTTAACTTTCCTTACTTCAGTCTGCTTTATTAACTTTTCTGATTGGTTTTCTCGTTTCATTGTTTTTAAAAATGTCAATAGAATATGACTGGCATTTTAGCTTTTCTCTTTTTGGAACTTCTTTTCAAAAAAAAAATTAATTGTAAAAGAAAATGATCTTACGTTTGAATTGTAGTGATTGTCAGAGTAGCAACCATTCGAACAAGAATGCAGGATAAAGCCAGTGACAAGTCAAATGCCCTCATGTCTGTTGTCAGCGCTGCCACCGCTTGCGATGATCTACGGCGACTTGCTTCAACAAGACTGCATTTAAACTGGGTACATTTTATCAGCTGCTAAGGAAAACAAGCACAAAGAGCAGTTACGAGTAGTAAACCGGTCCCCTTCCTCCTCTTCATGTTAGAGCTGTCGTCTCAATCCTAGAACATAGACATACAAGTGAATTTGTAAACGAACGCATGCTTTAGAATTTTTTTTTGTACCTTCTTAAAATTTTCAGAATCATAGGATCTCAAAGTGATCTGGAATGACAGCACTTAGCGATCAGATAGTGACATTTTTGCGGACGGGGCCTCTTTTTCGCAGTGGTTGTTTTTCGAACCGGGAGAGAACTGAACCACTCACATTCACATCCGGACACGACGTGCTAAACCTCTGCACCACCTTCTGTGCAATATCGGACTTGCTGGAGCACTTGTATTCTGTATTTATGGCATCTTCATTTATACTTTGTGTCGTTTGGCTGTTCCGCCCTCTGCAGCACACTCTTCCAACAAACGCCGGCTTTTCGCATTATTTCTTCAACGGACACGTAAAATGCGCAGCTGAATCTTCAAGTGGCTAAAGCCTTGCCAACGTGCTTCTATAGAAAAGCCATTGTGCCAGTAATCCCTTCAGGAAAAGATAGGGATGTCAAAATCGCCAAAAGGCTGTCCACAGCACGACATAGCGTTGGCCAAACGACGGTGAAATGGAGGAAGAAAAGAGCTTTAATGTCGGGTACACTACTGGAAAGCATACCGAATATGATTCAATGGTGAACCAATAACGCTTCAAAAATCGGTAAGAACCACTGAAGTAATCTAAAAAGGCGGAAAAAAGTATACGATCAAGCCATGTCGCACTGAGCCGTAACAGTTAGTCGATAAGTTATGCCTCATCATAGGTTTGAGACAGGATGGTGATGCTCAACATACACTACTGATATTTCGAAAGAGTAAAGCCTGGTAAAGTGTTTTTTGTCGGAAGGATCGCTGAGCTGATAATTTGTTCAAGGCTGACCATCAAGGCTATAATCCCGATAATCTTACGCTGGAGTAGGATGTTCGAAAAGTGCGAGTGAGATTCAGCGAAAACCATTTACGTAACTTTTGAGTGGAAATTAAACACGTACCATTTTGAGGTACTGGTTGATGAATAGTTGGTTTATCTTTGAAAAAGACAACAATAAGTATTAGGCTGGCAAGATTGGCAAGTGTGGCAACGTAAATTGGACCAGTATAAATATTCAGATAGAACGCATCCTCGATAATAATATGTCCTGGATACGATAGCGAAGCAAATACTAATTGAAATACTGCAACAATTACTGCTACTGTATTATTTCGGGATCAGTAAAATCAACACACAAATTGATGTCTTCCACATCCCCCTGTATTTGCTTTTCGTGGGGACAGGGGCAACCGGATGAAAAGCAACCCGAATGATAGCAGATGACAAAAGAAACCATCCGCTTGCAAGAATGTTGTTGGTTCCCTCTTTCGAAGGTTGCACATAAGCAACCTGATAGGGGGTTTGACTACCCAGCATACGTCAGTTCCTACGATTCATTCGTTCGCTTCGATGGTAAATTGGTACTGGTAGTTGGTAGGAAGTTGCCGTCCAGCTTGCTTTTAATCATTCCT